GCCGATGCCTCCGTCGCCTGGCTGGAGTGGCCGCGGGGGAGTCTGGAGTCGGGCGGCCGCTGGTGGGAGCCGCGGGTGCCCGGGCCGAGATTGGGGGGGCAAGGCGGGCGACAGAAGGCCGATGCCTCCGTCGCCCGGCCCTCTACAGAATCCACCCCCCAAACCTCCAGGTATTTCCCTCCTTAGAGCTGGCAACCCTACATTCCCCTCAGTGCCTGTTGGTAGGCAACTAAGCTTGGTCCTGTCACCTACTTTGGCCTTTGGGAGAAAACACATTGGGGCCAATCCTGATAGGGTTGCCAACTCCAGATGGGAAATTCCTGGAGATTTGAGGGATGGAGCCTGAAGAGGGTGAGGTTTGAGGAGGGGTGGGACCTCAGACAGGTACACTGCCATAGACTCCACCCTCCAAACCAGTCAGTCTCACATAGGGAACCATTGTTGCCAATCTCCAGGTGAGGGCTGGAGAGCACTCAGTATTACAACTGCTCTGCAGAAGGGAGGGCAGAAGTCAGCTGAAGTCAAAGGGGCAGATAATGGTAGGTTGGTGGCTAGCTGGGAAGGAGATGGGGTTGCCAACTACATGCTGACAAATTCCTGGGGATTTGAGGGGTGGAGCCTGGAGAGGGTGGGGTTTGCAGAGGGGTGGGACCTCAGACAGGTAGAATGCCATAGACTCCACCCTCCAAACCAGCCATTTTGTCCTGGGTAACAATTGCTGCCAATCTCCAGGTGAGGGCTACAGATTACTCACAATTACAACTGCTCTTCAGGTAGCAGAGATCAGTTCCTCTGGAGAAAACAGTGGACTCTGTCATTATACCCTGCTGAGGTCACCACAGCAAATTGACACTGTTTGCCCAAAGCCAGAGCACTGCCCCAGAGCCTCTTTCTAGATCTCGTTGTATTGCTTTCACAACGGGCTTTACTGCTAGTTCAGTATGAGGCAGATTCATATGTTCACAAACTGAAGGTAACTTTGGAAGAGGGCTGTGTGGCAAAATGGGCCTGTAGCCCTTTACTCAGCTATTGCTTGTTTGCCTAGGTAGTTTCATTGATAGACCATGCCTGGCAACAGTGGGAAATGGGAGAAGGCAGAAATGTACACACACACCCCGCCACCAATTACACAACTTCTGGTGCAACCCAGAAATAATGGCATTGCACCAGGGGCAACGCTCTGACACTCAGAGTTTTTGGCCAAGTGCTAGAACATTTCCCCCAGTGCAATGCCATTGCTTCCAGGTCACACTGGGTGCGTTCAGACGGGGAGTTTCTGCCGGCATAAACGCGATCACACTTACCTCCCTCACAGCGGAAACCATCGCAATACGCCCGTCCACACTCGTCTTCGGGGTTGTTTTTTTAACTTAGTTTGCGCATGCGCATAGGCAGCCATCCATAGAATGGCGATCTTCGCGCATGCACAAAAAACCCTGTCGTACATTTAAACTTTAAAGGTAAGGACTTACCTTTAAAGTTTAAAGAGCACAGTAGCCTCCCGGAGGTCCCGGACGCCTCCGAAACGCTACAGTAAGGCCCTTTTCTTTTCTTTTTTTATACAAACGGCAGGGCGAAGCTTCGCCCAAGCGCATATTGCCATCCTTAAAAAAAAATGGCGGGCGAAAATCGGAAGCCTGAGGCTTCTGAATGGAAGTAGCTGTGCAACGGTGGAGAGCGATCAGACAGCGAGGTACAGCGTTTACAACCGTTGCACTCAGGATACCACCACTTGGGGACCTAGTGGCAGAGTGCAACGGTGTAAAGGGCTTTACACTGGTTAGGGACAGGAGGGAGATGTTCGCCATCTGAACGCCGGTGAGTACAATGATTGCAACCGGCACCTATACCGATGTAAAGCCCCCGTCTGAACGCACCCACTGTGTCATCATATGGGGACAATGAGTTCACCCCCCTGTTTGGCCAGCCAGTTTCTGCCCACTGACCATGTCAGCATCAGTAAGCATTGGTGAGCAACAGCCACAATCACCTGGAAGTCTCTCACCATAATGAGGCCAATGGGATCCCTATTCACTGACCTCTATTGTGCTGCCTACTTCTGTTTTAATTTCTGCTGCCTTCACTCAGAGATCCTATTTAAGCAGAACTTCCAAGTATGCAGCAGTGTTAGTGTTACTGAAGCTTGTCTGAAATCCTAGTTTGAGGACAAAGAACTTCCTCACTTATCCACGGTAAGTGGGTAACAGGGGCGAGAGGCTAGCAAGATACTTTTCATCTGTTTCTTCTAAAACATGACGTTTATTGTGATGAGGGAAAAAATACAGATATTCAAACACAGTAGTAGTAGAATCTGGTTTAGAAACCTGAGCCGGTGGTCTGACTCAAAAACAAATACACAGACTTGTATGTATTTCTCAGTCATCTAGATTAATTTTCAGATCTTGATACCCTAATGTACCAGTGGCATTCACTTCTCAGCTTGTGTAGTGCCACCTTTTCAATTACCATCAACCCGAACAGCCATGTTTACTTCCATCCCAGGCCTGAGTCCTACACCTTAGGGAGGCTCGCAGAGGCTCCAAAGGCAGCTGCTACAAGGAGAAAACCGCCCACCAACCACAAGCCCCACTGGACAGCGGTTGTGGTTGCCCAGATTAAGTGCATCTCTGATTAAAGGTAGAAAGATCGCTGGAGGCTCTTGACATGAGCAGGCGAGAACAAAGGAACAAAGATGGTGACCTCCTGTGGTGCACAACATGGTCACCAGATTGATAGGCTCATGGAGAGCAACTATCTAATTTGGAGAGAATGAAAGAAGACCCATCTCATCAGAAAAAGGCTTGTGGATGATGCAGAGCAACAAACTGCATGGAATGTCAAAAATGAGCAGGCAAGAGGTGGTATTATCACTGGTTTAACAGACAGGCAGCTGTTTGGGCTGAGTTGGAAAGATTGCATGTCAACTCCTACCTTCAGAAACACAGCATAAGGATGCAGGCTGGTGGGAATTTTCGTGTACATCTTGACAAGACGCTGGGATTAGCTAAGCAATTGAGAAGTGCAGGAAAAGAAACTGACGATCTGGATATGCTTGTGTCAATTTTAATCAGCCTGCCGGAATCATATGAAAACACAGTGTCTCGAATTGAGTCTAAGAATGATTTGTCACTCCAAAGTGTTATCAATCAAGGAGGAATATGATGTATGGGAATTTAGGAGAACAGAGACTAGCCAAATGGCTTTGAATATAAATAACAAAGGGGAGAAAATGTGTCACCT